GTCTGTTGCGGCGCAAGAAAACGTATTCTGAAGTACATCGATCGGGCTTTAGATCAGTTGTCTAATAGAAATGCTTCGATTTCTCGCAATGAAAGATACTATTTACCTATGCTGGTTACTGACTTTATTTAGTAATACCTACAGTATTGGTTATGCAGCCAGTAAAATCCTACCAGTAATATTCCATTTTCTGTTACTATATAGTGTTATGGAAACGCTAAATAATAGATTACCATTTCGTTTCCCTAGTTTTATTAGCGCTCTAAGTAGCGTTTTGTCTCTGGAGTCATCTCCAACTTGCAGCTTTTAGCTTTCGTTTCAAACGCCACGAAGTTATCATAGATGTCTTGTCTCATGCTAGAACATAAAATGAGTAAATGTTAACGTGAATCAATTGACACTAGTTTCCTGCGCTTATCATAGTTCCCTGATGTTATGGGAAATTACGTCATATGTACTGATTTATTATGATTATTAAATCTTTATTGCTTGAATTCAGAGACAAATAGCATGTACGGACAACAGTTTTCGTGAAGAAATCTGTGATAGAAGCAAAGGTGTGAGTAGTTTAAACTGATAAGATTTCTGACGGATACAGTACAATTCAATGTATACACTGAAGAAAAATATTAAAAAAACAACATCTCTTTAAAACAAGACTGCCATTTCAATACTCATGTCAGTCAAGTCGAGGGGGGGGGGGGGGGGGGGGGGGGGCGGGGGGGGGGGGTGCGCTTTATCAGCTTCTGTGCTAGCGCCGCAGATTTTGTTTGTGGACATGATGGAGGAAATGTCCAGCATTATTGCTCTGGCTGGTCATAGTCTCGTCATTGTCAGCAAGACCGGTCGTTTTTAAATGAGATGTGGCCTCGATCAGTGTAGATGTTCAAAAATTGGCTGTGTGATACGTAGGGGTAAGCGATGCAAGGAGAGATTGAATTATCCTCACAATCTGTGATGATTATCGAACGATATGCCTCGATATGGTTTGCCACAATAGTAGCTCTATTACTAGCAAACTCTGACACGGATTAATGCTTCTTTTTCTGTGGCTTAATTTTGGTATGTGCTACCAAGTATTATTCAGAGCGCTGGGCAATTATGGCAGTTAAATAGCAAGGCATTCCAACAAATATAATTTGTTGACTTGGGATTACACACTTCCGGACGTTATTGAAGTTGACATCCTCGTGGCCTTCAAACTGCCAACAGAGTCGTAGAGGACTTCGCTTTGGCGAGGAAGATCATCGCGTCAATCGTTTTTAGCATCTTCTGGGTGAGTACATCCCACGGCGAATCACTCTGGGGTTTGTTTTGCCATATTGGGCGTTGGCGTGCTGATTAACGGAAGCTGCAATTGGAGAAGCGGCAACCTGCACTACTAGTATTAGAGTATGGCAGGTTTGAATGCTCTAAGGCAGTTGGCGATGGAAAGAGCACGCAGAAACGCGTATGGTGACGAGGACTGCGCAACGTTGTAAGGCGTAATGAGACTGGACGGGCGAGATATCGAGGGCTTCAAATTGACCAGACACGAACGCAGTTGCGGTCTTTTCGGTTATGCTGCTGTGCCGTTTGGCCCAGTTATCATATCGGGAGGATGTTCTGGTTGAACGTGCTACACACTGCAATCTGAGCTGTGGATGCAGCAATCCGTGCACATAACGCAGTTGTTCATTTCGCCGGATGCAAAATCACACGGGGCGAGAACAGTTACCAAAGCAGAGGATAACCCTACAAACAATAACAGACGAATTAATCAAAAATAAAGTTTGCTGATTGATCTGAATCAAATGTTTACAAATATCTTACTGAGTTTTTCAAGACTAGTTGAGACTATGTCTTCTCATGAGTTGGATTGCGCCTGATTAACCGGTGGTAACGGACCATCTGCAATTTAGGACTGGGACACTTTATCGAAGGTTGCCTATACATAAACATGAAGTGAAGAGGTATGATTTCGCAATTCTGCCGTACAGCGTGGCTTGCTGACAGAGACAAGCAAAACGCTACGGTGGACGAGTGAAATTTTATTTCAACAATAGGATTAGTGTGCTTTAGTGTAGTGACTGCTGACTCGCTGAACAAGGATTGACATGGTTAGTTTCGTTTTAATTTCAGCATAAACCTACGAAAACTTTGACTGATATTTAGCACTTTGGGTATCTATTGAATCAGGGTCGTAGCTTTGGCGTGGTTTAAGTTAGAGGTGATTTCATATTGGAGAGGAAAGTCGCCCAATTTGTGTTTTGCTAGGTTTTTGTGGGGTGGCTCATGTGACTCATAGTCGAGAGGGTCTCTGACAAGCCTAGCTCTAGTACTATAGCGATTACATTAACTGCGTCTTGGCAGCGGCATGCGCTCCGCGGCCACGCCTGAATGTAGCGGGCTATAGTCGAGGCGAACAATGCCACGACGATTTTGGTGGATTGTGGTGTGGGTTAGGTCAAGCAACGTGCTATGGCAAAACGTGGAATTTCTCGGATCCCCGCCCGTAGGATTCGCTGTTCAGCGGCTCCAAGCTCACAATTGGGAGCTATCAATGCAAAGATCTGGACGCACATAGATCGAAAACTGCGGTAATTCTATGCTTGCTCGCGTTGGATGTACCTTGTACTCGCTTTTACCTTAGATTCGTATTCGATTTGAAAATTTGTGTAACATTTCTCCGGAAGCCAGCGGCCATCCTCGTGCATCCAACTGCATTGTGGGAAACACAGCCTACAACATACGCTACTTTGTTGTTGCACAATGCAATGATGCACGGGGATGGCCGATGCAGTGTCTGGAGGGAATTGTTGAGCACAAAGATTTTAAATCAAATACGACTAAGGCTAAAAGAGTACAGTGTACGTTACCAACACGAGCAGCATATAAGGTATCCTGTTTGACTATGTGTGGTCAGATCTGATGCATGATAGCCCCAATTGTGAGTTTCGTGGGAGCGATGAGGACGATCCGCGGCGGGAGCGGGAGAAAGGCCACCTTTTGCCATGGCAGGTGGCTTGACCTACCCACACAAAAGCACCGAAATCGGAGGCGTGTGCTGGCCGGTCAGAGAATCTGCGGAGGACTATGTGACTCACTGACTGTCATTGTGTACGTAACGACTAACGTCACGTCGTAGCTGTAGGGTTCGTGGAAGTTACTCGGCGATATCTGCTTAATGACTATCTATGATCAGGGGGTGGAGGAGAAACTACGGCACGCGGCGCCAGGGCTCTACGGGGTGGCTGGCGGCCGCGGAAGCCTGCAGAAAATAAAAAAATAAAAATTAAAAATATTTTTTTTTGCGGGCATGTAAAATTTCTTGTTACTGTACTTCCATTAGCAGAGGTGGGTACAGGGGTCGGTGTTACGGTGTAAGCTTGTACATGGGGGCATATTGTTTTGTACATTAAAAGCAAGACGATGTTGATGTACTAATTTGTTTTCCTTTATTTTACAAAAGTGCCTTGGTGCCCTTCTCAAATTTTGAGAGTTGCCTTGGTGCCTTTCTATTTTAGAGAAAATTCAAGGTGATTTCTCACATGCCCTAAAAAAATTGCCTTGCCCTTCTCGTCGCTTAATTCGAGCCCTGGCGCAGGCACACACGCAAGCACGCGCACAGGCACACACATATATATACGCGCGGGCGGCGGCGCGCGCTTGATTGAATGCAATACACACATGCATGCTTAATGATAAACACTTGACAGCCACACCGTACTAGGAATTCTACCGCGCCGTGGAACCGGCTGCCGCTAGCGGCAGAGGCCGAGCGAGATCGGCAAGGCGCGGGACCGACCTGGACAATCGATTTCCAGGGCGACTTTTGCTTTCGGGGTCGCCCCCGATATCGTATTTTCGGGGGCTCTTTTTGGCATTTCGGGGGCGAAATCGCCCGCCGCCCCCGTGTATTTTTTCCCCTGCGTGCAACAGTGGAGCCGCGAAAGCAATGGCGGCTGGCAGCGTAGGATTTTGGTAGCGTTGCACGTAGGATTTGGACGGATGTTTTATTTTGCATCATTTTGCGGATGAGCTTGGACCTTCACTTCACAATTTGTTCTGACAATCCTATGATCTATGTTCTCTTCCTTTCGATTGGAAAAAGATGTGAAACGTTGAATTTCTTGTGATTTTAGCAAGTCATACTCCTTTATTATTATTCACTCCTGATAATATAACATAATGTAATGTAACATAACATGACCTATCAAAGAAACAGCAGGTGATCTGGACAATCCATTGCCATGAGTTATGTCTCAATCTGGTGTACCATAAAACAACCAAAATTTACTTTAATAAATGGTATTGGTAATTCTATTTCTGCATGAGACGTCAGATATATTAAACAAATAACTGTAAGCCAAAGTTAATATTTTCAGAGTGGCTATATGCTCGGCAGCCGGCATATATCTGACGGCTGCCGCGTACGGTCTTCGATTTCCTAAATGCCCGGCAGTTTTTAATTTTCAGCGTTATCTCAAGTAAACAAGGGTTTGGGTTACGGTTAGGAACTGCCAGGCATTTAGGAAATCGAAGACCGTGCCCGGCTGCCTGGCATATAGCCACAGCGTAATATTTTTCCACAATGAGTTCTATAGACCAGAAGATAATTTAAGCCATTTTAATAAGTGTAACCACAGGCACTTGGAACGTCTCAATAAAAAAAAGGTAAATAAACACGAAATGTATTTACTACCAAAGTCTTAATGTTTCTCTACTCTATTTCGCCTATAATCGCCTGTAAATGCCGGTCAAATTCTCATCTGCAACACACAAGTACACCGCACGCTAGCTGCTGCACACTGACACATAAATATATAGCAGGTAGGAAAGCGTGCTGCCAAAATTCGATCGACGCTCGCTTGATTTCATATGAATACAACACAAATATTCAACCATACTCCATCTTTGTTTCTATTTGAAGAACAGTGTTCACTTGTTATAAAAACATTGTCTGTGTTCGTAACCGAGCTGTGTCACGAGAAATCACACAAAGCCTGACGAAATTCTCGCGTTCGCTCCCGTGGCTGCAAGTACAGGGCTATAGGCGGCGCACTGCATTTTGGGAAACTACCACGCTGCTTTCCAACTCCCGTGTGAGCCCCGTCAAAGCCGCCAGTGGAGCGTTGCAAAAACGCTGCAGCGTTGAGGCGCGAAAATGAGGTCACGAAGAGCGCCGGGGGGTGTTTCCTGATTCCGACAGCCATTTACATAAACTGCGCAACGGGAGCGAACGCGAGAATTTCGTCAGGCTTTGTGTGATTTCGCGTGACACAGCTCGGTTACGAACACAGACAGTATGTTTTTATAACAAGTGAACACTGTTCTTCAAATAGAAACAAAGATGTAGTAGAATGGTTGAATATTTGTGTTGTATTCGTATGAAATCAAGCGAACGTCGATCGAATTTTGGCAGCACGCTTTCCTACCTGCAATGTATTTTTTATGTGTCATGGTGCAGCAGCTAGCGTGCGGTGTACTTGTGTGTTGCAGATGAGCATTTGGACGGCAATAATAGGTGAAAAAGAGCAGAGAAACATTGAGACTTTGGTAGTAAATAGATTTCGTATTTATTTAGCATTATATTTTATTGAAACGCTCTAAGTGCCTGTGTGTGTAACACCAGTTCCAGAGTTTTACATCAAAATATGTTATGTGGTGTGTGTATATTTGGTGGCAGGTATGTACATACATGTGTTTCCTTTACTTCAGGATGTTTTTCTAATGGTTAAACGTCGTAAGGCGTCGATCTTTGTTGAGGCTAAGGAAACTACAACGGTGCTAGAGCTCAAGAAAATAATCGAGGGAATTATGAAGACATTGCCAGAAAATCAGAGGTTGTGGAAAGGTAGTACACTATTCAAGAGGTTTCTCATCTTCGTACGTTTGTATTTAAATCATATAGTGTTTAATAACATGGGAATTCTGGTATAAAAGTAGTCTGTACTTGTGTGAACAGTGCCATGAATGTCCTAGCAATATTGCTACAATGCTATCCTAACAGTAACTGGTTTAACCTATCTGTTATCTGTTCAGCCTTGTTCCTGAAAACATAAAACTGGAACTTTATTGAGGTTGGTATGTATGCGCTCAGGAGTCTCTCACCCTCGATGAAAGCACCATTTAACTGCTGTAAACATACACGAACACCTACTGTGAACCTGACAATTGTATGTTTGTTGTCACTAGAATGTATGTTTAAAATGTAATCTTTGTCTGTGGTAGACGATCAACCAATGGATGATAACAAGATACTGGGTGACTATGGTTTTACCAGCAGTACTGCAAAGGCACAGGATCCTGCAACAGTCGGTCTTTCTTTCCGAGGTGGGTGAAAAGCCGTGGAAAGGAAATGTCTTTTTATTCCCAATATTAATTTGTGAAATTACATATACAGTCCGACCTTTTTTATCCGGCCATCCGTTATCCGGAAATCTCTATTAACCGGCCGCGGTTTCGCAGTGTATGTTCTCTGTTTTTTCATTTATTTCCACCTAAAAATCTCGCTCAAAGTTCGCTCAAAACTCGTGCGATGTACCAATGATTCTTGCGCGATGTACACATTGATTATCGTAAGAGCACACAGCTATCACATACACAAAACAAACACACTTACCGTAAGAGCAAACGCCCATGTACATGTACATGTATAAATATACGGCCATATTAATACGAATATATCACGAATACGTACTCACTTGTTGATGCTGTAAAAACTACCAAGGAATAAAAGATATATACATTGTATACTATATGAATGAACAAAAATGTGATGTGAGCGTGCGTGCATGCATGCGTGCGTGTGTGTGTGTGTGTGTGTGTGTGCGTGTGTGTGTGTGTGTTGTCCGCTATGCCTCCAGACAACTTTCGTCCGTTAACAAACAACTTTTACTAGCGGACGTTAGTGAAACGCGCTACCTCGCTATGCACTCGCTAGTCATCTCCAACTTGCAGCTTTTAGCTTTCGTTTCAAACGCCACCAAGTTATCATAGATGTCTTGTCTCATGCTAAAACATATATGTAAATAAATTTTAACGTGAATCAATTTACACATATTTCATGCTTATCACTAGTTCCCTGATGCTATATGGGCAAATTACAGTCATATGTAATTATTATTATTATTATTAAATCTTTATTGCATGAATTCAGATACAAATACATGTACTGACAACAGTTTTTTTCGTGGAGAAAAAATCTGATAAAAGCAATAGTGTTGAGTAGTTAAAATGATAAGATTTCTGACGGATACAGTACAATTACAATGCTATACAACATGAAGAAAAAATATATAAAAAAAACAACATCTCTTTAAAACAATACTGCCATTTCAATACCTCATTTCAACGTCAAAGTCCGAGAGCGCTTTATCAGCTTCTGTGCTAGCCTCCCGCAGACTTTTGTTTGTGGAAACATGCTGAGGAAAGTCCAGCATATTTCTCTGTGTGTCATAGTCTCGCTCATTGTCAGCCAATACCTGTCGTTTTTAAATGAATGTGCCTCGATCATTAGATGTTCAAAAAATTGCTGTGTATACTATGGGTGAGACGATGCAATGATATATTGAATTATCCCTACACAAATCTTGATGATATACCATATGCCTCGATATGTTTGACCACAATAATTAAGCATCATAATATACTAGCAAACTCTAGACCAAGGATCTAATGCTTCTATTTCTGTGGCTTAATTTTGTATGCTACCAATTATTAATTCAGATCGCTGCAATATGGCAATTAAATACAAGGCATTCCAACACATATACATTTTGACTTGATATTACAAACACCTTCAGGACGTTATTGAAGTTGACATCCTCTGCCTTCAAACTGCCAACAGAGTCGTAGAGTGACTTCGCTTTTGCGATGAGATCATCCGTCAATCGTTTTACATCTTCTGGTAGTACATCCCAACGCAGAACACTCCCTGGGGTTTTTGCCATATTGCTTGGCTTGGGCTGATTAAACGGAAGCTGCCAATTGGAAGCAGAACCTGCACTACTAGTACTAGAGTATGGCAGGTTTTGAATTGCCTCTAAGCGTTGGCCGATTGGAAAACGCACGCAGAAACGCGTATGGTGACAGAGAGACTGCGCAACGTTGTAAGAGTAATGAGACTGAGGCCGAGATATCGAGGGCTTCAAATTACAAGCACACGAACGCAGTGCGGTCTTTGCGGTTATGCTGCTGTGCCGTTGCCCAGTTATCAATATCTGGAGGGAATTTCTGTTTGAACTTGCTACACATGCACTGAGTCTGTAGGATGCAGCAATCCGTGGCACAACCGCAAGTTGTATTTTCGCCGGATGCAAAATCACACGGGCACGAGAACAGTTACCAAAGCAAAAGAGACTAACCCTACCAACAATAACAGACGAATTAATCAAAAACATAAAGTTTCGCTGATTGATACATGAATCAAATGTTTACCAAATATCTTACTGAGTTTTCAAAGAACTAGTGAGAACTATAGTCTTCTCATGAGTTGAAATTGCGCTGATAACCGGTGTAAACGGGACACATCTGCAATTTAGACTGACACTTTATCGAAGTTGCTATACATAAACATGAGTGAAGAAGGTATGATATCTCGTCCAAATTCTGCGATACAGCGTGCTTGCTGAACAAGAGACAAGCAAAAACGCTAGGTGGCAGAGTGAAAATTTTATTTCAACCAATAAGGATTAGTTTGCTTTAGTGTAGTGACTCTGAACTCTGAACAAGTATTACAATGGTTAGTTTCGTTTTAATTTCAGCATAAACCTACGAAAACCTTTGAACTGATATTTAGCACTTTGGGTATCTATGAATCAGTCGTAGCTTTTGCGTAGGTTTAGTAGAGTTGATTTCATATTGGGGGAAAGTCGCCCAATTTGTGTTTTCTAGGTTTGTGTGTCTCATTGTGACTCATAGTCCGAGATTCCTCTGACCAATGCCTAGCTCTAGTACTATAGCCGCTTACATTAACTCCCGCTGGCAGCGGCATGCGCTCCAGCGGCAGTTAATGTAAGCGGCTATAGTACTAGAGCTAACCAATGCCCACACCGACGATTTTGGTGGATTTGGTGGGGGTTAGGTCAAAGCAACGTGCCTATGCAAAACGTGGAATTTCTCCGATCCCGCCGAGGATCGCTGTTTCATCGCTCCAAACTCACAATTGGGGCTATCAATCAAGATCTGACGCACATAGATCGAAAACTGGATAACTTCCTATCCTCTTGGGTTTGGGTTACATTGAGTACATTATTGTATCTACCTCTCCCCTAGCTCTAGTACTATAGCCCGCGGATCGCTGCCGCAGCGGCCTG